TCACCACACTTATTTTTGGGTGACAACTTTACAAAGCTCACACAGGAAAATCCTTACTTGCCAGTTTGCAAAAGTTAATTATAAAGAGCATTTCGTTTTGTCTGTCTCAGGGTCTTTGCATCACCTCTCCTTCATTTGTTTGTCTGCGCTTAAGCTTTGCTTTGCTTTGAAGGCATTGCTTTAATAAATTATTAAATGGCAACCAAATAGTCAAGCTCGAAATCAAATTCATCGGCAATTTGTTAGCCACTGCACATAGATTTCTTGGAAATTAGCCAGAGCCTTTGGCGAAACGCATCAAGTATGCAGCTTAAAAAAGAAAACATTTTTATAAATTCAAATACCTGCATTTGAAGAGACTTCTTTCACAAACGCAAAACAAAATAAAATGGAAAGTGATAACAACAAAATGTGATAGTTTTATTGGACTAAATTTCTCTGATATATAATTTAAAATCGTGTTGAGGAAAATAAATAAGTGTTTCTATCTGAAGAAAATGCATTTTCTTCTCTTTCAATTCAGAGACATACAATAAACATAAAATGTTTGTTTTTTTTTGTTTTGATATAGTAAAATAAAAACATTTTTTGGCTTCTTTCGAGAGTTTAGCTTACTCAAGCAAAGTATTTGACCCTTAGCCAATTTAAGTAGCTGAAACTTTTCTTTTAAATACATCGCTGACCTTTGCTGAAACTTGAAGGCTAACTCGCTGGCTTTTTCGATCCTGTCTTGACCCTGGACCCTAATGAGCCAGCGGTGGCAGTTTATGAAGTGCCAACATCTGATTCTTATCCAATTAGCGGGTTTGCCAGGCGACCCGCTGCGTTTAAGCCGCAGCACAGACAAACTTTCACCAAAGGATGTGGAAGGGGACCTGCCCAATGAGGAATATTACACTGGGATAAACTTAATTAAAACTATTATAAAAAACATTAAAAAAATATAAATTGCATCCTTTAAATGTATAAGACACCATCGAACAATCTGGTAGTTTGTTTCTCGATCAGCTTATGTATTATTGATAAATTTATTTAAGCTTTAGCTCTTCTTATTATAAAATGTTCTGCACTCTCTACTTTCACAATTTTTTCAGCAGTGTAGGTGTCATGGCAAACAACAATACACCGCTTTGTTTTTCTTTCTTGCTGGGAGGGTCCACAACATTTCAGCACACAAAAAGTTGCACAGTTGAACTAGCAGCCAACGATAAGTGGCAAAAAGTCAGTTGGAAAATGTGTTAACAGGTTAAAGTCAGAAGTGAACCTCCGGTGGCTTTAAGCGGCTTAAGCCACACTCTGCTCGTTACCTGATTTTCTGAATAGTGATTTATTGAGCTGCTAGTGGCCGCAGGTGTTAAGGTGCTTCCGTTTTGTTTTTTTTTTTTTGCAGACACTTCCGCTATTTCGACCGACACTCCAACGTGTTTGCAACTGGTCAATAACAATTTGCCTCTATTGCCTGGACTTCCGCCCAAATAAGTGCACATAATTTCGAACGGAAGGATCTGGGAGGATGCTCAGTTTTTAATTACAGGTATTCAGCTGGCCATGGGCGATTCCTTTTCAGCTAAATGGTGAGAGAGAAATAAGCCGGGATGAGATACGCACTTTTCTCGGCAGGATGTTGGCTGGCTTGTTTGCAAAACCTCAACCCCAACAGCACGGCATTCGGCAGAAGGACGAAACTGTGGAGGAAACTCCGGCCTTTTGTGCTCGTCCTGTGCCAGTTCCACAGTCTGCTGCATTCATTAGACCTGGCCAAGTGGCGCTCACAGACTCGGAATTAAATTGCATTTACAACCGCACCTCCGAGGCTCCTCTGGTCTGGATTCTGCGCTAATGGTGTAACACGACTCGGGGCCATCCGGCCATAATTATTATGGTTATTATGATTACTCTCGGCCTTCAGCAATTTCATGCTGCAATATTCTTAAACGCCATCAAATTGTCGCTTAGCTGGGCTAAGACCAAAACAACCAACCGCTGTTGGCTTATGAAATTAAATGAGGTGGATTTATTTTAATGAAATTGGAGCCGCGGGAATGTGCATTTGTAAAATACCCCTTGATTAGAAATTGTTGTATTAATGGTTACTTCTATAATAACTTTATCAAATTTCACTGAATAAGTTACACAATTTTTTATATATCAACTTCGACTGTTATGATCAATTAAAATGATTTGTGGGTTGAGCGTTTAACAAACTTAACCTACGGTGCAGCCATTTGGCAAATTAGCATGTTTGAGCCGTCAGGTCGAGTGAGCAAGCCTAGTGATTTTGGCAGTTACATGTGTTACTTAATCACATGGCGGCTGGAAATTCTTTGACAGGAAGTGCATGACCATCGTTGGCAACATGCCATGCCACACGTCACAGTTACGAGCCAGCTGAAATAAAACTTGGCCGTTAGTTAGTTTGGCACAAGTTCTCAACTTTTTCAATAAATGAACTTGTTACCCTGTCTAAAACCTAAATCACAGAGGGGTGCTTCAATTTAATATTTATATTAACAGGAACAATTGTCCCTATACAAATAAATTCTTTGTAAGATTTTGTCACTTATAAAAATATAAGAGTGTTTTTTTTTAAATAGCATAGCATTCAGAAAATAGTTTTTTATAATAATAAGATAATAATATAAGTCTTAGATAAATGTATAATAGAACATGTAAATAATAAACAAATCTTTGAGATCTCAACTTCTATAAATTCCCAAATTCACTTGTCAAAATTGAGCAATTTCTGAAATATTCCCTTATCCAGGTGTGACCACAATTATGGGAACAATTTTAAAAAACACATAGCATGTCTTCTAGCCATTTCACTTTTGCATATTTAAGACGCTTGTTGGGACATTTCCGCTATAATTGACTATTGGCCCGCGGGTAAAGTAACGCGATAGTTGCAAGGAAATGCCCTGATTTGAATTTTCATGGCGGCCGCTAAAATAATTACTCAACATTTTTTTGTTACCCGATTAAGTTGCATGTGTAAGTTGACTTGCACGTTAATTAAACGAATTGCGTTGCATGTGGCTGAGAATGAGGTTCATTTTTTGTAGCTTTCATTGCAATTTATTGTTTGGTATTTTTCATTTTGGTTTGGCATGCGCACAATGCAGCTAAGTTAAGATGTTCGAGGGCCTATGGCCTTTTTGCTACGGATTGCTTATCACTTGCTTATCACATGCAGCAACGACCATCGGTTGCACCACCGATTCGGTGGCTCTATGCCGCCCGTCATCCGAATGCAGCTGGATTCTAGGTGGGTTTCACTACTTTGCTCACTACATTTGTCTAGTTAGTTAGTTAGTTAGTTTGTTGACTAGGGGCTTAAGTCTATGGTTAAAATGGCTCTTCACTTACCGCGCCAGTTGGTGGGGATATTTTTGTGGGCTTGTTGTTTGTAGTCTTGGTTTTTTTTTTCGGTATTTCTTTTCTTTTTTTTTTTTTGGTTAGAATTATGAGAGAGAAACGGTGGCTAACTAACTGATTACTAGAGTTTAGGAAAGAAGTTGAACTAACTTTAGGTTGCCGGGCTTTTGGGCCCGGTTCGGGTTGAGTGTTGATTGAAGAGCAGCTCCTCCGGGTTCGGGAATGTTGATTGATGATCCTCTATCTGTCTGGGGTTGCTCCATCGTCACACGTCCACGAAATGTCACAGTTTGTTTGATACTCTTTGCTCACTTGAAAAGTGTTTGCCTTACAATTGCTTACGACCTACTTATCGGCTAAAACTAATGGGCTGGCCAATTGAGCTTCAATAGGGGTTTGCTTTTTATACAGTTTGTACTCTTGGTAATTAATTTCTGCATTTTACATGGGTGCATATCTCGCCTTGGTGCTCGGTTTATGCCTAGGACTTAGGACTACTAATAGTGGTTAGGCATAAACTAACTGGTATACAATATGTGTGTAGTTGCGTTAACTGTTAGTTATTGTTTAAGTTATTGCTTCGAACGTGTTCTATTTAAGCTAAGAAAAATTCATTGTTTTCGATCTACGTATACTTCAATTAGCAAGAAATTACCTATACTATTATGTTAAGTTGTTAATTTTTTGATTATTCTATGGGTTGCTTGTGGACCCTTCCAATTAGCTGTAAGTTTCTACCAAATATTTGCAATTATCTCGAACTCCTTTTCTGGCTTTGGCTATATAATCCTATATGTTAATATGCTATAGTTATTGTAGTAATCGTATATGTAGCTGGGCAAAATGTTAGGCTTTCTTAGTTCCATATTTTAAAAAGAAATTCTACTTAGTTATTGTTATTGGATTGCTTGAGTTACGTATACTTTTGGTGACTTAAGTCTAGAACGGTACAAGTGCTATCTGAAATGCTCTGCTTAAATCTAAACTTAATTATTTTAACCTCTTAATTTTAAGCTACGGAATGTTTTCCTATTTATATTGATTAGTTTGGTGTTATTTCTTGCAGTTAGTATGCTTCTACTTAGCGAAGGAAATAAAGTTTATTCTAGTAGTTTACATTTAAGTAGCGTAGCAAACACTTTTATTTAGTGATTCTCTCTTATTTCTCTCTCTCTCTCTCTCTCTCATTTCTCTAGTTAATATATTTATTTTGCTTTAGTTTGATGGGTTCATAGTCCATTAGCAAAGGATTCGAAATGAAAGCTGATATATTTTAGGCTGATTGGCTAATATAACTTTACTCTAAGTTTACTTTTTGGGCGTGATTATTCAAGGGCATTTCAAACTTTTTCCAACTAACTTAAAAAATTCAAAACTGATGTCGACTATATAGTTTTATTTTGTTTTTTTGTTGATTGCAGACATAGCAGAGAAGTGTTGTTGTTGCTGATGATATGCATATCAATTGGGTTGGGTTTATTGGTTTTTGGAATCTCTGCATTTCTTTGCTCGTCTTCGATCTGGGGATTTGTTTTATCTGCTCCCCTCTCTCCACTCTCTCTCTCTCTTTGTTTCTCTTCCTCCCCCATTTTGTGTTGTTGTGGTTTTTTTGGGGGGAGGCTTACCTAGGGGATGCGGGCGGAAGCGGGAGCGGCGGCGGCGGCAATGGCGGCGGCGGAGCCCGCACATCCGTTTCGATGTTCCGCTTGTGCGGCGTCTGCAAGTCCAAGGCCGCATAGTGCGAGTGGGCGTGGCCATGCCCATGGGCGTGGGCGTGGCTGTGCATGTGCCCGTGACTGTGAGGGTGGCCCACCCCCAGCGGCGACTCCCGCGGCCTCAATGTGGTGGGCGGTCCGCGGAAGAGGGCGTACGGATTGCCAAAATAATCCTGTGACGTGGCCATCATTTTGCGCTGCTCCTGAAAGCACATAATAAATGGATAGGGAAAACAATTAGCTCGTAATTGACAAATTATGGCAGGGCCACGACAGGACCGCACAGCTGCTGAAATTAAAAGCAAACATTGAGCGATTGCTGGCATGTCCATAAAGCATTTTTATAGCCGCCGATTGCCTCTGACTAAACGACGGCATGTGGACAAGTGCACTAGGAAAAGGATCCCTATAAAAACATTACTTATTTACTACTAAATACAATTTAAATATACATAGTATTTTATTTCCTTAAATAATTTAAAAAGGATTTCAGGAGCTGTTAAGTTGGTTGCAATGTTTATTCAAATGTAAAATCAGTTTAAGTAGTCTGTAGAAATCCCATTAATAAATCTGAGTATTTTTTTCAGTGCTTTGAAGCCCTTTCCCTGCTAAAATCACTCCAGTGCCCGTGTCGGTGTCCATTCATGTTTTTTAATTTAATAGTCGTGTCATGTAAATGGGCCCTGCACGCGACTGCATTTAATTCCGGTTGTGAAATGAAATTATTTTAACATGTTCGCCGTGATTGATACTCATTCCCTGTCCCGAAACTCTATGCCAGGACCTGTCCTTTAACCCTCTCCCGGTTTCATGGGGCAGATGCAGTACACATGTCGGACACACCATAATTGACAGCCGAGGACATGCCACGAGCGGACTACACATGTAATTAAGTGCCGACTTGTCGCTTAAAGTGCCGGCCAATTGCCACGAACGCATAACGAGGCGACAATAGCCATCGGCTTTTGCCGTGAGTGATACCAATATCCAGATAGCTGGAACCCCAGACAGTTGGCATAAACCGAAGACAAGTGCCTCCTAATTGAGTCATAAAAATAATTGTTGGCAAACATTTATTAAACACTCTTTTATCTGTATCAAATTAAAACCCCAAATCAATTACCAAAGCAAAGATCATTTGTTCCATCAGAATATGCATAAAAGCATTCTGAATGAGTCGTCTAATACATTAATTGCTATCTGTTTGTTTAAGCAATTACGGAATTACAGATCAGCCGTAGGATTGCCAATTACATTTCAAAATTAGGGCTCACATCAAACATAAATTCCTGATAGTCAGGCAATCTGAGCCAACATTCTCTTGTAAATATAAGCGGCTCATTATTTCCCGCCCATCAAATCGGCCAACACTTGAAGTCACTTGCAATTAAATGCTTACACAGCGGTCCGACTTAATGCCACGCCCACAAAACGTCCTTCCCCTCATCCCCCATATCTCACAATTCAAGCCGACTTTACACACTCGACGTGTTTACGCAATTTCCAACCAATTGGCATCAAGTGGTAAACACATCTCAGCCGCATTTCTCAGCCGCAATTATAACGCCCGAAAAGGGAATAACGCACTACAGTAAATACTCGGCGTTGTGATGATGACCAATGCGAGTGCTGGATTTTTTGTTTTAATGAACTGTTCTTCTCTCGCTTCTCGGCATTTTTCACCGGGTTTTTGCATAATTTAACGCGACACCGAAGGCTCAAGTGCTGACTGGTTTTCCACCTGGCTGGTTGGCTGGCTGGCTGGCTGGGTGGCGAGACGTCGGAATAAAAAATCGAGTCGATGATGGCTGCTTTTAACTTTTGCATAATTACGTGTAAGAAAAGAACATTTTCCCAAAGTTCGGAGGTGGCAGCTGAAAACTCTGCCGAGGTGCACGGATATCGGGAATCAACGTGAAAGCTTGCGGCACGCACTGTGCGAATTGTTTTAACTTACTTGGCTCAACTTTTTATGCCACGCACCGCGACACTAATGGCACCCCCTAGAGTGTCGTTGGGCCAAGGGGGAGGGAGAGTTGGGTTGGCTGTGAATAAGGGAGCCAGATACTCCTACACAAGTGTTTAACAGCGCCCAAAATTCTAGCATATTTAAAAAATTAAAGAAGCCTGTTAAAATTTAAAAACAAATTCTTTGATAATGAAATATACAATAAATATTCAAATTTCATTTCAAGAATCTAAACAGAAACAAACATTAAAGTTAATAGATATATAATTAATTGTTTAACAGTAGAAGTAAACTTATAATATAAATTTTGTAGATATAACATATGTTTACCTAGTGAAAACTCCTAGAAAAACTTCTAACTCTCCTATTTTTTTGACGGGCACTGTAGGTACGCACCCTAGTTCTCGCCGCTGGAGGAAATGTGGAGCAATAGCGTCAAGTGCACGCAGTCTACTGCACTGCACGGAGAATGTGGGATGAGGACGCCAGGGTGGCAGACAGGAGGAACTATGTGCTCCTATTTTTTGTGGCAATATAGGCCAGACGTCGTGGGCCGGCCAGAACACCTACGCGCATTGGTGTCACCTACTGAACTGAACACTGAATTCTGAGCGCTGAGCGCCAAGAATCAAACCACTAAAACACTGCTCTGCCTTTCAGTGATGTTAGACTATTTACAGTACCTGAACATAAAGGCTTCGAAGAAATACTGCATGTTTATGGCTAACAATTGAATTAATTTAAAAAATTGACGTGATAAAATGTTTGGCAGAAAAAAATTAACAGAAAGTTAAAACAATTTTAATAGTTAAATGATTAATAGTAACAAATTAAAATTTTTTTGTACTTAAACAAAATATTGTAAGTAATTTTTAAACTGAGAGGAGAGACTTAATTTTGAAAAATCGTTTAGAACTTTTGTAGAATTTTGTTACTACTTATTTTTCTTTTATTTCATGGTAATAAATTTAAATATTAGTTTTGAATAATTATCAGCCAAACTGGCATTTCTGCTGACTAGAATATCCGTCACAGGGTTTGCGTATCAGGCAAAGTAATCTCTGCTCTGGAACACTTTTACAGCGCTGCGCTCAGGGGCTGTTAATGAGTCAAGATATGATGTATTTGTGTGTGTGTGTGCCTGTGGATGATGGGCGGGAGTCTGGATGTGTGGGTGTGAGAGGGTGTGCTGGTGTGCGTGTGTGTGGGGTGTCCTAAGTGCGTTGGCGTCAAGTTGAAAGCCGCTAGACGGCAACAATGGCGGCGAGCAACAACAAGCGCCGCCGGTTTTGTTGCCTACTTTTGTGCGCCTCGCAGAATGAGAGTTCTGGGCTGAGAATTATACTCCTCCGTTCACTCATTTTCACATCTATTTTAATGACTAGTGATGAGGGCCTTAGCAACGGAAAGCAGTGAAAGGTAGGCCAACAATGGGTAAGTTTCACGGTCACTGGTTCTTATTTAAGTAGCTTTATTGTTCTTTATTTTGTTGAAACAATCTCACATTTCACAGGAAATATATGTGGAAAATGTTACTAGAAATATAATTATTAGAATTTATAAATATTGGTTATAAAAAAGTATAGAAGTTTTTGGCAAAATATTCATTTATTTTTAAAATTACCCGTTTTCAAATTCCTAAATAATTACCATATAGAGGGGATGTTTGATATCAAATTGACACATCCATAAATAAGCGCGCTCACGCACTCATCGCAAATTCGCTGTTGAGACGCACTCGTTTGCCGCTTTTGTTTTGCCATCGATGGAATCATTTACCCCAACACATTCTGCATTATGCATGATAAATTCACAAGGGAAGCGGGCAGAGGGCGGAAATATAATAACTCTGCAAGTTGGGGGCTAAGGGCCTCCAGTCTTGTATTGAAAGTTCCCCTTCAGCACTCATTATGTAGTTTGTGTGTGAGTTGCAATTAATTGAACCACTTGGGGAAGTGCTGCAATTTGTTCCGCATACGGCTGAAAAGAAGTTTGCTATCGTTTAAGAATGCCATTTTTTTATGTTTCATTATAATTCCTTCCTGCCCATATTATTATTTTTTGTTTTTTTTTTTTTTTTTTTGAGTTGGTTACAAAACTTCTTTGTTGCTTGCTATCAGCGAGTGCTTGGCAACTTTTAGCTGACTTTTGTCGGGGTCTCTTTATGCTTTTGCAGTAACTTTTCCGAGTATCCCACTCAGGGGACATTTGCTGACCCAAAAGGAAATGCGGGGCGCTTGCCAGATAATCCTTTTTTCCGGCTTTATTGCTTTATAACGCTAGTGACGCTTTAAGACGCAAATAAATTGAGTTTGTGGACAAGACAAATCTGCTTAGCCTTGACAGGACACTGAAGAAAAAACCCAGATCCATAAGCCTTAAAAGCATATTTTCTTACTTTAAAAGCAGAGTCCTTCTTGTTTATAATTTTGATACTCTGCTTTTTACTTTTGTCGTTGTTTATTTTGCTCAGTATAATCATCTCCAGCTGCGCACTTGTTTAGTGAAATGCTTCATTTGTTGGCTGATTTGTGCAGTACCTCCTCCATTATCCCCCTTTTCCCGTCAAATGACTGTTTCTTTGTGTTTACTTGGCCGACGAGAGCTCGCTTGCCAAATGGCTTTGAATGTTTGCCCTCTCGACTATTTGATTATCCGCACTGGCACTGCCATTGTGATTTTGTTTTTGTTATTACATAATGCTTAAGGAAGAGAGTGCACTTCGGGAAAATCACCGCTGCACCCCCACACCTCCGGGGGGAAATGAACCTCATCCCCTTCCACGGGGGACAATTTTTGGACTGCAGTCATGTGCGTGGCAGTTGATGGTGCTGTTCCTGTTTGTTTGCATGCAATTCCGTAAAGTCCTGTGCGTGCATTCAGGTTATTCCGCCGGCTCAGGCGTTTGACATGAAAAATGCATTTTATTGGGATTATTTTTATAACGTGTCCGACCTCAGGGTCCCCGCTGCAATTAAATCGGCAGTCATTAAAGCTATCCGCTTGTGTGTGTGTGTGTTTGTGTGTTCAAAATGCAAATTCAATTAATTTTACATTTATGCTTAGTTCGCTGCCACACGCCTTCCATCAGATTTGCAGTCAATTTTCGCACTTTATAATTCAATTTCTCAATTTCGCGGATAAAAATATTAAGTGTCGTCCTTTGTGCTTTGTGGCCGGGTCGCTGTTAATGGCCAATTACGTGCTGGGCTTTCAGGTGGTCATACGTACGCATATATAGTATGTTCGCATTTATGTTCGTTCATTTTGGCACATGTCCACAGTACATAGTCCATGGTCCATAGTGGCATCCATATCGCGGTGGCGCACAAAGAGCCGCACGTGCTTGGCTCTCAAACTTTGCGATTTCATCAGCAAACTGCGCTTATTTTCCCGCCCCCGGTTACTTTATTAGTTTATAAATTCAATTGTTTTTGTAATACAATATTGGCCAGTGGACAAAGTGTTGCTTTGTTTAAATTCTGCTGGCTAAATGGCTTTTAATTCAACAAATTATTAAAATAGCTGGCTAGATTGTTATAGCATTTTATAGAAGCAAAATAAAAGCTTTGTTTTGATTGATTTTAAATTAAAATGCAGAAAAATTTGAAAATAGTTCTAAAAAAATATACATAAAAAATATTATAAACTTAATTTTAAGACATCGAAATATTTATTCCTTTTATCTAAGAATTCAGAATTTATCTTACCAATTTATTATTTTTTCCACTTTATTGTTTATTATTTCTCAAGGTTGCAACAATATTCCAACTTTAAGTTCTCAAATAGTGGTTTAATAAATAGTTTCGAAGGCAGGCAACCTTCAAGGGTTGCAAGTAAAGCAATTAATAAAACAGCGCTGTGGAATCCGAATCGAAATGGCCAAATATTGGTGGCCACACCCGCCAGCTGTTCACAAGCGCTGCAATCAAAAGAAGGCAGCCGGCGTCGAATGCAAAAAGTGAAGCCAAGCCGTTACTTGACTTTCAAATTAAGCGAGGGAGCCAAAACTTTTATCGATAGACGCACGCCAAACTTTGACCATTGCCAATTTGTAAAGACCCCAACACTTACAGCTGTGACAGTCCCCCCCAGAGAGCCTTCTCTCTGGGCCAAGTCGAAGTACACATAAATAAACTATTACGCTGCCAGAAAAGTTTGCCAGCTCCCCGGCTGTGAGTTAACCAAATATAATCTGTTCTCGCCCGGACAACATATTCAGTTCGCTTCGCTTTCGAAACGATTTACAGATATTGCGTGTGTAATTTATTTCCAAGTGCCAAACTGTTTACAAGCTCACTCAGCCAGAGACCAGCTCATTTAACATGCTGATGTTCTGCAGCTTTCCCCTGTTTTTCCTCCTGATTTTCCCCAGTCGATATTCCCCGATTCGCAGTTGTTGCCCAGGAGGAAGCACCATTACATGTTGCCGCAACTGTTGCCATTGAAAGTCATTGCGATGTCGTCCCGAAAGCCTTTAAACTCTTACATCGCCAATGGCCGAAGCCTTAAGCCAGATTTAAGTGACCCTGAATGCTCGCCAATCCGAGCATATGTGTTGAAAGTTGTTGATTTTTGGCTGCATTTCACTTCCAATATAATAAGTTCGTTGAATATTCCGACATTTGTTATAATAAGGTGATTTTATTTTATTCTGAATTCTACCTTTTTATTTACCTTAAAAAGATATTTAGCCTTTTTAAAATTGAATGTTGATCATAACAAAAATTTTATCTTTAAACATCAACATGAAATATATATAAAATAAAATACCAGTTCCCCATTTAACTAAATGTTACTTATCGATCTACGATTGGTCTATTTAAATGCATTTCCCTTACTTGAATTTAATTTAACTAAATTAAAGGTATGTTCCTCTAATTGTATGTTTTCCCAGTCAATTGGAAAATCCCTCAAACAATGGTTGTTACGTATTGTGGAAAAGCATGGCAGTTGCCTAGTACTTATGCGTTATAAAATATGCATTAATAGCAGCTCCTCACGAGTATTTGCATTTATATGGAATACCTTTTATTTTTATCGATAGACGCACGCCAAACTTTGACCATTGCCAATTTGTAAAGACCCCAACACTTACAGCTGTGACAGTCCCCCCCAGAGAGCCTTCTCTCTGGGCCAAGTCGAAGTACACATAAATAAACTATTACGCTGCCAGAAAAGTTTGCCAGCTCCCCGGCTGTGAGTTAACCAAATATAATCTGTTCTCGACCGGACAACATATTCAGTTCGCTTCGCTTTCGAAACGATTTACAGATATTGCGTGTGTAATTTATTTCCAAGTGCCAAACTGTTTACAAGCTCACTCAGCCAGAGACCAGCTCATTTAACATGCTGATGTTCTGCAGCTTTCCCCTGTTTTTCCTCCTGATTTTCCCCAGTCGATATTCCCCGATTCGCAGTTGTTGCCCAGGAGGAAGCACCATTACATGTTGCCGCAACTGTTGCCATTGAAAGTCATTGCGATGTCGTCCCGAAAGCCTTTAAACTCTTACATCGCCAATGGCCGAAGCCTTAAGCCAGATTTAAGTGACCCTGAATGCTCGCCAATCCGAGCATATGTGTTGAAAGTTGTTGATTTTTGGCTGCATTTCACTTCCAATATAATAAGTTCGTTGAATATTCCGACATTTGTTATAATAAGTTGATTTTATTTTATTCTGAATTCTACCTTTTTATTTACCTTAAAAAGATATTTAGCCTTTTTAAAATTGAATGTTGATCATAACAAAAATTTTATCTTTAAACATCAACATGAAATATATATAAAATAAAATACCAGTTCCCCATTTAACTAAATGTTACTTATCGATCTACGATTGGTCTATTTAAATGCATTTCCCTTACTTGAATTTAATTTAACTAAATTAAAGGTATGTTCCTCTAATTGTATGTTTTCCCAGTCAATTGGAAAATCCCTCAAACAATGGTTGTTACGTATTGTGGAAAAGCATGGCAGTTGCCTAGTACTTATGCGTTATAAAATATGCATTAATAGCAGCTCCTCACGAGTATTTGCATTTATATGGAATACCTTTTATTTTGCCGGAAGTTGCGAAATGCCGGCACGTGGCTAATAAACCGCAACTGCAGTCTTGCCATAAATAAGAATGCCTGCATGTCGGATCAACTTGGCCCTTCCACTTGAGTGTGTGTGCGGGTGTTAAGGATGTGCGTTCGTTGTGTGTGTCAGCTGGCGAATTAACACGTCAAGCGGCTTCTGCATTGACAGCTCCCAATAGTTTCCACATGGTGAACGGCGAAATGGGAAGTGCCTGCTGTTTTGGACAGGCTGCGAGCTCCTTATAGGGTCCTTCTTGAATGTCCTTACAGGCACACAGCCGGAAAGGGACGGAAATTAGATTGCAATAGTGATGAGGGGATTAATGGGATTGCTTGCCGAATTCTGGCTTATCCTTTAATAGGAGAAAATATGCAAACAAGTGGAAAAAGTACAGATCCTGCTTAAAAATCCAAAATGAGCTAAATGTCAACAATGCGTATGAGTAATATTTATACCGGTAAAAATCTAATTTAAATAACATAAATTAAGGGGTTCAAAAATATCTTAAGTTACAATATACTATTAACTTTGAAACAACCTTCTTCATAAAAACGAATGACAGCATAATTTGTAATGCAAATGTGTAGCTGCACTTAACATGGCGCACTTTTACTTTATCTCAGAAGGAAGTAAAATTGAAGGAAGAAAAAAGTTTGAGGCACATATTGACAAGGCAATTAAATTTTTAATTACCATGTGTGCAAATAGTTGGCGAACTTTACGTTTCGCTGTTCCGACATTAAAAATTATTAACAGAATTAATGCGAAAAGTTGTCGAAAAGACAAAGGCAAAAGGCGAAAGGCAAAGAGAGTGGCCAAAACCACAAGAAGTTGGCCCCGACATCAAAGCAAATAGCAGAGGAATCCAAGGCATCAAACAGACAAAGAGCAGAGTTAAAGTTTCAGTCTGTCGCTTTTTTGGCGCCTTTTGTAAACTTTTGGCCAAAAAACGAATGGTGTGCGAGTGTTAATACATTATTCATGTGACCAGCAGAGTTTTCCTCGCGGTGTTCTGTCATTTTCTTTAAGAGCTTTCGACAATTAAAAGGCGACAGTGGGTGAACTTTAAATCGATCAGATCTGAAATTTATTCACACTCAATTATTTGAAAATGTTTACTTAGGTTAAGAACATTACATGTGCAATTGTCTCGCACATATATTAAAAATGTTTTATTCAAATGATAGGAACTTGGGGAATGGCACAATCTCTCAGATATGAAGAATACATTTCAAATGGTTTGTAAAATATTTTACACATCAAAGTTAAAAAAACAAACCCATCTGTATCATGTAGAATATCTTAATTAAATCTAAGCCAGTTTATAAACACCCCATCTACATTTTTAAGTCAGTTATCAAGATAAAAACAAGCACGCACACTCTGTACTCTTCACACTAGAAAAACCGGAAACATGAATAAATTCCGTGTTAATCAACATTCATGCCCGCAACCAAATCAGATTTGCATTTTTCAAATATTTTACAAAACTAACCAAAATGGCAGCTAAATTGCATACTCCCACGCACTCGCACACGTCCAAACAAATGGAGTGCAAGGGGGTAAGGGAAAAGGGGGAGGAGAAGGAAAAGGGGAAGGGAGAGGGTGGTAAAAGGGGAGGAGAAAGGTAGGGAGAGAAAGTGACATTGCTAACTCGTGGATGTCGACAACGCTGGCGGAACGAACGCCGCTGGCCATGCTCAAAATGAAAGGCACGCGCCCGTTAACTAAGAAAAAAACGAAATCGAAGAGCATAGAAAAAGTTTGCTGAAAGCACATTTTGAATTCCCTAAAAAATAAATCAAAAAATATGGTAACTAGTACTAAAAAGTAATAATTCAAAAAGCGCTTACAGGAAAAGAAAAGAAATTATATTCGAATATTGATTTTGATTGTTACATTTTATATTTTGAATGTAAGAGCAATGTTGGTATGTTTAGAATTATAATTTTTTAGTATCTAGCTATACTTCTATAAAAGTTGTGAAGTAATACTTAAGATTGGATTGAATTAGATGAATAAATAATCCGTAGCTGTCCTTAGCAATTAAAACTATCCTTTGAAAAGGGTATAAAATATATAGCCGAGCGAACACGAATTTCCAAGCCTGTCTGACTGACAGGCCCAGAGCGAATAGAAAATGTTGGGGGTTCGGTGGAGGGTGGATGGATGGGTGGTAAGGAGGCGGAAAAAGCGGCGTGTAAATTTTCCAACTAAGCCACAGCGAGCAGAGTAACTGGCACTCGCACACGACCAACTCAACTCAACCCAACGCAACGCAACGCAACTCAACTCGCTGCTCGCGCCGTATATCTTCATTAAAATGCAATGCATCCTTGGGAGAGCAGTGCGTCCTCCCGCTGGCCACGGTCCC